CACGAAATGAGCGCTAATTATGGGAACAGTAATTAATCACGTGATCAGTCTTTGGGAGACACGAACCGCGAATAAGCGTCGCGTGAATCGAGACCGTGAAGAGCGGCGCGAACGGCGACTGCGCGGACAGCGCGCGCACGACCAGTGAGTCGTGAGAGGCGACAAACACGGCGTCCGCGTCGTCGGAGGCGACCATTTGAGTGATGAAGTCGTCGTCTGTCGTCGTCGTGTCGTCGACTCGGATGTCGTCGAAGAGAGGGTTGAGGTCTGCGTCGCGAACACTAATAGCGAGCGAACGGCCGGAAGTCCACAACTGCTGACCAGAAGGACAGAGACGCAGACAATTCATGTGTTCGCGGATTTCCGGCTCAGAGGTGTTCCAAACGCCCGACGGCTCTGCAATTAAGCGCGAATTTGAGTCAATTTGGCGCCAAATGCGAGACAAAAACGGAAACCTCTGTGAAAAATGGCGACACTTTGGTTCGCGAGACAAACGAAGACTTTTTCGTTGAAAAAACTGCGAAAAAAACGTTTTTAGCGGACATTGAGGACAATAGTGACGCAATACTCACGCGATGGCCTCCACTTTGGCGCTGAGCGTGACTTTCACTTTGTTTTTCTTGATTCTGAAACGAAACCAAATGAGAGACAATTGGCGACAACAATGGGTGCGACGCGTGTCTACCGAATGGCGTCAAAGCAGGAGTAGATGTGAACAGAGCTGTCGTCTGTTCCGAACCACATCGTCGCCGAACGACTGGACGACAGGCTGTCGTCTGTGTGTCGTCGCGAGCGACCTCTCGTCATATTGGAGTCGCTGTGAGTGTCGCCGCCGTCGCTGTCACTAACTGTTGGGGAGAACGACGGGTGAGACGACAGGACGACGAGAGGGACGACACTTACCGTCGGATTCATCGCTAGTCTGCGTCTGAGACGGCGTTTCGGGCGATTTCGGGACACAAGTCATGCAAATGATGCGCGAATTGCAGACTCCGTTGCACGAGACGACTGTGGGCTCGACGGACGCGCCGTTCGTGGCGTTGAGCGACAGAACGGATATCTGACCGACGAATCCGTCGGAATTGCAAATCCAGACGTCGTTTGTNCAGTCGTCGCACACGGGAGACAACTCGACGACAAACTCGAGACAAATACTGAAGTACTCGAAGAAACGACTCAGAGGTTTGTTGTCGTCATGCGTGTCGTCTGTCGTACTGACACTTGTTGTCTGTCGTCCAACAGGTCCTTATGGAGAGATGTTGGAGTCGATGATGAAAACGAAGAACAACAACGAAGACGACACTAAACACAACCTGTCGTTCATTCAGGAGTTGTTGCGCGAAACGGCTCAACAGCGCAAACAGTTGGACACCAACGCCAGGGAGACGACGGGAACGGCGGCCGACGCCCACGAACTCAGCACTTCCACTGCCGAAGCGACGCCACAATCGGACGTGTCGTCCAACGCGACGTCCATTACGGCGACCATTGGACGACATTTGGTGAGTGTTGTCGTCGCTGTCGTCGTCTGTTTTCACGTCTGTGTGTATCTATAGGACACTCGCACTCACATTGTGGGCGAACTCTACGACACGGAAAAGTCGTTTTGCGAGCAATTGCGGGATTTGGTGGAGAAATACGCGAAACCGTTGTCCGAAATGCTTATAATTGACTCGATTTTCGTGGAAATCATTTTCGGCAAAATCCCCGAAATCCTCGCAATTCACTCGAAATTTCTGGACGAACTTCGCCATAGGATCACCGAATGGTCGCCTCTGGAGACGACTGTCGGCGACGTCTTCTCACTCTTCGACGAGAAGAGCTGTTCCGACGCTTACCTCTCTTTCGTCGACAACTGGTTCGAAGCGAAACAATTGGTGAAACAGTTGTCGCGCGACAAACCCCTCTTCCACAAGTTCCTCGCCGAGCAGTCACGTGAGCACCGGTCGAAGCTCTCATTGGACGAACTCATGATTGGCGTCATTCAGCGAATGCCGCGCTTCGAGCTATTGTTGAAGCAGTTGCTGAAGAACACCGACAAAGAGCACAAAGACTTCGCGCTCCTCAACAACGCTCTCAGTAAGTGTCGTCTTCCGTGTCGCGCGTCGTCTCACGTGTCGTCTCTTTGCAGAGAAAATCCATTCACTCGTTCTGTACATCAATCGCGTGAAGAATGACGTCGACGTCGGCTCCCATTCGTCGTCTCTGTCGTCGTCGGCCGTCGGCGGCGGACAACAGCTCGACGTCAACCAGTCGTCCGTAACTGTCGGCCAATTGGAGGCCATTTGCGACGGCCTTCCGTCGCTTTCGGGCGCCACTCTTCACGACATCGCTTTCGTGTCGATTCGCAAACGCGAACGCATTTTGTTGCTCTTCTCGAACCTTCTCATTATCGTGTCGTTGAAGGGGAAGAAGAAGTCGCAGAAGTTCGAGGAAAACAAGTACAAAGTGTTGAACTTCTTCGCGTTGGACGCACTCGACGTCAACTGCAACGACGCGACGACGACGACGACAGCCGCGAACGAAGGCGTCGTCTCAGACGACAACTGCTTCGAAGTGCTGGAAAAGGATCTGCAGATTCTGCGAACCATTGAGACGTCTTTTGTGTCGCGCTTGTCGTCGAATTCGCGACACTTTTTGGACTCTGTTTTCCACGAATTGAATCAAAACATAAACAAACGAATGAACGAAATGAAGAACTCCGAGAAGAATCTCGAGCTTATCGTCACTTCCGGCCAAACCGGGACTTCCGGTCACGACTCGTCCGCACAAACGCCGTCCAATCAGAACAATGCGTCCATTTTGTTGTCGTTTTTGTCGCTCGAAAAGCGACAGAAATTCCAGGAAATACTCAAAGAACTGAAATCCGAGAAATACTCGAAAAACTCGACAATTATTCCCGAATTCCTTTGTTTTCTTCCCATTCGGTAATCATTGCTCTCTTCGACGGCTTTCCGCCTCTAATGCGCTCTCTATTGCAGCAAAACCCGCGCCGGTCTGCAGTTCACGTGCGCGTCGCCGACGATCGGCACAAACGACGTCTGGATTTGCAATTCCGACGGATTCGTCGGTCAGATATCCGTTCTGTCGCTCAACGCCACGAACGGCGCGTCCGTCGAGCCCACTGTCGTCTCGTGCAACGGAGTCTGCAATTCGCGCATCATTTGCATGACTTGTGTCCCCAAATCGCCCGAAACGCCGTCTCAGACGCAGACTAGCGATGAATCCGACGGTAAGTGTCGTCCCTCTCGTCGTCCTGTCGTCTCACCCGTCGTTCTCCCCAACAGTTAGTGACAGCGACGGCGGCGACACTCACAGCGACTCCAATATGACGAGAGGTCGCTCGCGACGACACACAGACGACAGCCTGTCGTCCAGTCGTTCGGCGACGATGTGGTTCGGAACAGACGACAGCTCTGTTCACATCTACTCCTGCTTTGACGCCATTCGGTAGACACGCGTCGCACCCATTGTTGTCGCCAATTGTCTCTCATTT